AAATTCAAGTTTACATTGGTCATTAGGCTTTTTCTCAAGGGTACAAGTTCGGCCAAGTTCTAACGTATAACACTCGAGAAACATAGTAGCAAAGGTCCTTACTAGTTCAAGTAATAAGTACTTAACCTTCACTCAAGTCGCTAATATAGTTTTCTAGTACTCGAGTAAAAATTCGGGCAGCATGCCCTTTGTGTTTACCTAATTTTCCAGTCATTTAGGCTTCATTATTTTTTCTCAACCACAACCCAATATCACATATCAACAATTCATGTCAAGAGCCGTTCCATAGGCTCACAATATCATAATAACAAGAATTACAACAATAACAAGTGCAGAAATTCAATTTGGCACAAGACAGATTTGACGTATGAATGCGGAAATAACATATCCGAGGCTACGCTTATCGGATTGAGACGCAACCTATGCCGTTTCGAAGCTAAGACACAGAGCTATAATGTTCTTGAAGGTCACTTAGTCCAGTTTCTAATGTAACTTGGTCAAATTCTCAAATTACTAAACCAGAAACCAATTCGTCGGCTGTTTAATTGCATTACACTGTAATGGACATAACTCAGTGTACAAAAGTCCAATTCATGTGTTCTTAGAGGCATTTGAAAGCTAAGTCAGAATACTACAACTTTCATGTTTTGGCAAAAAGCTAAATCAGTACGTATCCTAGTCAAAAAACGTGATAAACTGGACTTAACTGATGAAACGGACTGCTGGGGAAATATTTAAAACAGTAAGGGTATTTTGGACTTTTCACGACCTACGTTGCTCCGGTTGAGCTGAAATTTTGTAGGCACCTATAAAATACCATTCTATACAACTTTCCTTCTTTGACCTAAGGCCAATTCAGCCTCTAACATATAGTTACAAATTCGGACAGAGTGTTGGGAAAAATTTCCAGATTCTGGAATTTCTAGTTTTTAGTGGAACCTTCCTTAATTTCTTGGTCTAATCACTACCAAAGCCTCTCTTATAACCTTAATTTCAACATATAAGCACCATACAACAAATTGGGCAGAATTTCCCCAAACCCTAGTTCATCAAATAAAAAGGGGAAAACTTCTAAAACATGATAATATCCATGATTCCACTACAAAATCAAGTTGCTAAGCTTAATTTAACAAAATTGAAAGTAAAACTTAGAGAGATAAGCTTTCTTACCTTGACTAGAGTTCACTAAGGATAGCCCAAGCTTTCTCCTTCCAAAGTCTCACCACAAATCACTAACTAACCACTCAAGAACAAGTTTAATCGGTTTCTTTTGTTTGATTCCTCACTTAATTGTTGGATTGAAGAAGAGATGAAGTTTTTCCCTTGGTGTTTTTCTCCCTTGCTCTTCTCGGCCAGCAGCAGCAAATGAAGAGGAAAATGCTGAATTTTGGTGTTAAATGGAAAGACTAAGTCTTGGTCAAGAAGCCTTAAGGTGGCGACAAGTGTCGCCACCACCACCTTTCTTTTTTTTTTTTTCTCTTTCTTTCTTGTTATTTTCTAGCCTCAAATTCGGTCAAGCTTGCTACCAAGAGAGAAGATATTTTGCTCAAATTCAATAAATTTGTTTGGTAAGGAAAAATGGTGGTCAAGCGGTGCGTTCAATCGGTAGTGCGCGGGACCCGCTGGTTAGCGCCGTTTTTCTTAAAAACTCACGTACTAGGGTTTTTACTTCCCATTCACTAACCTTATATCATTGTTACTAGTCACATATTATTTCTCACTTAAAAGTCATTTTAAATCCCAAAAATTAATCCTTACTCTATACCGAAAATTCATCCGGCGAAAAATCGCGAAACCCTAACTTTGCTCCAAACTTGAAACCGAAGCGTAAAACCCTATTTTCTAGGTTTATTTACACTTAGTGTGAAATATTTGGGTAGTGGGCTTTGATAAATAATAATTTTCAAATAAAAGGGTATTTTTGAGAAAAATACAAGAATTTGCGAGTCCTCACATAAAGTCTGTTGTGTAAGAAATCAAAAGTAAAAGGAAGACTAATTGGACTGGAGTTATGAATGAGGGCCAGATTAAACTGAGTTGGAGTCTCTCCCTCATGTGCCCACAAAAAAGGAGGAGAGTATCTATAGTAGAGAAACCTACAAGAGAAATGATGGAACCTACTCCCTGTCACCTGTAGGGCATCAGTCTAGGGCGGCAGTGTCAGAGGCAGGTTTGGGCAAGATGACGGCGACAGCCATGTCAACTTGCCTAACATTAATCAGCTATGCTTGTAAGTGTTAGATGTTAAGTGACCAGGCTTGGAGGTACAGCGGAGGCGGGATCACCTCGGGAAGGTGGAGATGAGTTATGAAGATAAGGGCATCTGCAATGGAGTGTAATGATGCTGCTATGCCTGTCATAACACGGATCTATTACACTGCCATCCATTGTGGCAGTGTAATGCTCATTAAATGCATCATTCTGATGATGCGTGTAATGAGTAGCTCTGGGCAAGACGACTAATGAATTTTGAAATTACCATGAAAGTATTGAGTGCGTCTAACCCAATACGTGTGATGTTGAAGCCAAAAATGAAAGCGGTGCAATTTCACGGTAATTAGAAATCTGCTAGATTTCTTTCAAAATTCATAGTTTCTTTCAAACTTCAAGTATTGTTGCTTAATAATTTTTACACCCTATGATTACAAACAACATAATTTTACGAAATAACAATTTTTTTAGCTGTAATTGCTAAGAAAATTGTAAAATGACTTTATCAGATATTTCAGCTAAATGGATTCTTTGAGTTGAATGAAAATAATTACATCTTAACAAAGTCCTCAAACCTTGATATATGAACAAGCAAAACTATAAAATGTTAATCAATTAACCGCAAAAATCCTTAGTAGACTCCTTGTTTTCACCCTCCCTCCTTGTAACTTGTAAGATTGCTTGATAAGCAGCCAATTTCAATCTACACCCTTTTGAATGATTTCCACATTGCATCTCAAATTTTTATTTCTGGATAGTTTGCACTTTAAAATTACTAATTACCATGAAATTGCACCTTAAAATTTATTTTGGATGTTTTGCACCTAAAGTTAATAATCCATCCAAAATTACTGTGGTTTCACACAATATTAATGTCATTGTAGGGAGCAATATGCACCTATACACTGGCTTCTTAACTGTAAAAGTGGGATTGGTTCTTCAGAATATCCCTCAAAAAAAATAAAATAAAAGAGTGAATACATATGCGTGTTAGAGCACTTTCACTTGCAAGATGAGTTGTTGTGGTGAATTTGAGACAGTTTGATGACTTTAGGATTTGAGACAGTTTAATGGTCTGGAATGATCAGCCTCCTTCCTATTATATTCATCAACAAACAAACGAATAAATTATAGTGTAAACCCTTACAATTTAGTGCATTTTCGTATAATCATCGCGCGGTAAAATGTACATGACTCCACGATTTGAAGCACAGTATCAAAATAATGGATATCGTCCTCTACGTTGGAATTAGTTAAAATTATTTATATTAAAAGCCTAAAATGATTTTATTAACCAACGTTGAAATTCTAAGATTTAAAAGTCTTGGAATCTAATTCTCCTTCATCCTCTCCACTTTTTTTTTTAAAAAAAATCCTACTTCTTCCTTGTTAAAAAAAATATCCTACTTCTTCCTTGTTAAAAAAAAATTAATATATATAGGATAAATTACACTTTTGTACCTTATGGATTTTTTTTTTATATATACATAACTCACCTACACCTTGAAAAGTTATACTTAACCATCGGGCCACTTTACCATCCTCTGCATTAGATCTCCATCAATTCTGATATTAATTTTCTTGACTAACTTTATGTCACATGAATTTAATCAAAGGTCGATCTACTAAAGGGCTAGATAGAAGGATGTTGGCAGCATCAGAAGTCTTCAACCGATCCAACAGGGCAATTTCTGCTAGAATTTGACCTGCTAATTGGTTGTTGTTGAGTAGTAGAGTATTTAGAAACGTACAATTTGCAAGTTTACAGGAATTTCACCTTTTATAGAAACAGATCTCACCGACTGCAGAGGAAGCAAGTATTTAATATTTCTTTTGGAGTTTTTTAATACTCGTTAGGTTTAGGACTAGTGACGACTCGAGCCGCGAGCAGCTCGAGTCAAAGCTCGGCTCAAGCTCGTGTTGACCGAGCTCGAGCCGAGCTCGAGCAGTTCATTAAGATAAACGAGGCGAGCTCGAGCCTTCGTTTCTTAGGCTCGATAGCTCGACGAGCCATTCGTTGGGCTCGAGTAAGTGTGAAATTATAAAAATACCCTTGATTCAATTAAAATTTACATGTTCTCTGCGCACTAAGCTATAATCGATGTTCAGCCACTGTTGGTAAACTTTCCTCCTTCCTTCACTTAGGTTAACTTGTATGCTCTGCTGACTCCTTCGATTGATCTTCTTCCTCCGCCACCGACTGTCCCAAACTCCCAATTTCCACTTCCGTCACTGCCATTGCCGCTACCGCTAGCTGCATCTCGAGTTTCTTCACTTCCTCCCACTTCAGCCACAGTCATCGGTGCTACTGCTAGCTACATCTCCACCGCTTCCGCCATCTCCATTTCAGCAACCTCCAAGCCGCGCAAGAATCTGAGTGCGCAACCCACTACCGGAGGCTGACTGACGGACGAGGAACTGGAAGGTGATCCACAGTGCCAAGAATCTGAGTGCGCAACCTCCCAATCTGATTGCGCAACCTCCTTTAGCAACCACCACTTCCGCACTTCCGCCAGCTCCGCTTCAGCTCCGCAACCGCAAGTGCCAACTCGACTAGCACTTTACTTTCCCTCTTTTCTCGCACCAAGCTGACTGACGGACTCTCCAAAATCCAAACCCAACCAGCTTCCCGGCTCATCCCCATCTCCGGGCTTTGTCTAAGCTATTCCGGCGGCACAAGTGTGCAACCCATTGAGGCCATCTCCACCACTCCCTACCGTGTCCAACATTCTTAGTGCATTCCACTAGATTTTCTTTGATTGGAATTGTGATAAAGATGTGCTGAAAAGGAGGGTTTTGGTTGAAGATGCAAATGGTGGCTGTTTCCGTTTCTTATGAGGTCTGCTTCAGTTGGTATGTTTCATTCTGTATGAAAGGTTGTGCAATGGATTTATTGGAAAGATTTGATCTTTTTCAGTTTGTTTGGGTGGTCTGTTTTGAGCTTCAAAGATTCCATTTTGATTGTTTTCAAGCATGTTTAAGTAAAGCAGTCTTAAGTTCTTTTGTTGTATGGTTGCTATGCAGACTTTGTTTTTCTCAGTACATGGTTTCAATCATAGGATAATCTGCTTTTTGTCTTGGATGTTATTGTTGTATTGGATTGATTATGTAGTGATTTTCTTGAAACTGCCATTGGCTTGTTTTCTTTAGGCTCTGAAGTTTCGGTTGTACAGCTTTGCTTATTAGTTAGGCGCTATTTTATAACATCCGAATACACATGATGCTTTTACACTAATTAATCAAAGTTCCAACCTTTATGTGTTTCCTGGGCATGAGAGCAAATATGGATTTGTATGCTTGCCAGGAAACCGAGCTTTTTGGGTTTTCTTATAGTCGTTTTCTTATTGGTGAGTCTGAGGAGATATCCGTTTCCAAGATTTATTTTTTATTCGTTTTCTAGTGTGTGGTTATATTTGTTGAGTTATTGTGATTGATCATTCTCAGTATTTACAGTTTCAATAGAAAGTTGTGAAATTTGTTGAGTTGTTTGAAGTTATTTGATTTTCTTTTTCCGGGCAGGTTCTTCTGCAGAGATAATTAATTTTTGCCCAAGTTTTTTTTTGCTTTCTCTGTAAAATGGGTAGAGGGAGACTAAAACAGCTTAACGAAATTGGGGCTGGACTTTCGTGCCTATATATCTTTTCAATTGGATGTATCAAGCTGTCTACAACAGATATTTTGTGTTGTAAATTTGTGATAGCTTGTAATATTTTGAGCTTTGGCTGAAAAATTGGACTAAAAGACCTGTATTTCCTCATATAATTTCATTTTAATGGGTATATTTCTATCTTTTGAAGTTCTTGATGGATTGAAGGAGCTCTTGCATGTTGCCTGCAGGTTGGTTCGTAGATCCATTGCTGGCATTAGGGAAGATTACAAAGGTAACCTACTGAGACTGAGGGGATGTGTCTTTTCAAATATGTGCTGAGACAATGCTAAATATATTCTTGATCAGTGAAGTTATCATAATTTGTATTAATGGATTTTTGTGGGCATTTGGATAATTTGTATTAGTGAATAATTTTTGGATAATTTGTATTAGTGGACATTTGGACATTTATGATTGTATTAGTGCATAATTTGTATGCCTCAAAATCAAGAATATGTGAAAAATTGTAGTTATTTCATGCGCAAATTTTGTCAAAAAATGGGGAAAAAATGTTGTATTCTTGCTTAAAGTTTCAGAAATTTTCGAGCTATTTTCCAGTTCGAAATCGAGCTCCAAACGAGCTAGAATTCGAGTTGCTTTCGAGCTTCATGCGAGCTAGAAAATCGAGCGAAACTCGAGCTATTCGCGAGCCAGATTTCGAGCTAAGCTCGCGAGTCATAAACGAGTCGATCTCGAGTTTTCCTTTTTTTACATCGAGCCGAGCTCGAGCTCTATTTTTCGAGCTCGACGAGCTCGAGCTCTATTTTTCGAGCTCTCATATAAATACGCCTGACTCGACTCGATAAGCTCAAAACTCGACTCGATTCGGCTCGTTTGCACCCCTAGTTAGGTTGTTGAGAAGAAAGGACCTGCACCCCACACTAGCCTTTCGTTTTGAAAGATTCAAGGAAAGAAATTTTTATTGTTTTTGGAATATTTATCCTCATATTTCTGGGAAGGACCCTGCATCCGCACCTGGGCTCTGTTTTTTTTTTTTTTTTTTTTTTGTGATTTGAGACACTTTGATGATTTTACCGTCCAAAGCGTGTAGAATAAAAATTAATTCCCCGTCTTACCATGATGCAACCATTGAGTAGGTAAAATTAGAGCTGGCAATTATATCCAAAACCCAACAATCCATCCAACTCCCTCACTAATTTGAGAGGTTGGATTGGATAAGTTGGGTTTTGGGTTAATTTTGGGTTGGGTAATAAAGACTCATATATATTTTGGGTGGTTTGGGTATTTGTGTTAGGCACCCATTACCTAATTTAAGTTAAAAAAATAAACTAACAAATTAAAATCAAGAAGCAAAAAAAAAATGACCAGCTTTGTTGGATCAAGCAAAACATCCGCTAGCCAAGTTGTCCAAAATCTGCCAAATTAGCTATTCCGGACACTCACAGAACTCCAAAAGCTGTTACAGTCCAAATTCATTACATGGTCGCTGGGGCTTCATTTGGCTAATTTGTCCGGAATAGCTAATAGTTCATGAATTTGGCAGATTTCTTAGAAATATGTCCGAAATAGCTAATGCTAAATCAAGTAACAAGACTTAGAAAATTGTATATTGGTATGCCATTTTTCATGCTATATTCAACTTGAACCAAAATTGTTGCTTCGGTCTCTTAGTTTGGACCAAAGCTATACCCAATTTAAAAATCCTTACTTGTATAAAAAATAGTGAGTTCATCCAAGTAATTTACATAGCTAGTATGTGTGTGTATTTGTGAAAGTATATTAGTGTGTATTGTAATGTGTTTGCATGTGTAAAAATAACGTATTTCAAAAGAGTTTAAAAAGTGAGTGTGTGTGTGTGTCTATGAGTGTTTTAGTGTGTAAAAATATGTCTATCTATGTGAAAATGTGTTTATGTGTGTGAATTTTTTTTTTGTATGTAAAAATATATTTGAGAGAGTTATGTATCAAATTCTATTAATTAATATATTGGGTCATAGGTTTCCCAATTGGGCTATCATATGCTTCCAAGAATCATGAGCTCAAACATAAATTGTTAATCAATTCTATCAAAATGATGGAGTTTGAACCTCAAATAGAAAAAAAAAAAAAAAAAAAAGATAACAAAGTTCCTTGACGGCAAATTGACACGTGTTTGAAAAGAAATAGCACAAAACCATCATTAAATTCAGCGAAACGAAATTACACAAAATAGGCCAACAGCAAAATATCTGAATAATCTCATTGATTGTTTCCACCATATCTTGACAAGAAAAGAGCCATCGATCCTTTCCAACATTTACCTCCATCTTCCACAAAAATATTAAAGAAAGCCAGACCGCACAGATGATCAATTACAATCTAAAGAGGAAAAACCACCGTAGCATGTACTCCCTAATGATATCATTAAGAAAAAAAAAATAGAGCAATAATTAGTTGTTTGCTCATCAATTTCAATGTGCTTGTGCATGCATTACAGGCAACTGAAGTACAAAAAAGCTACCAAATGGTAAATATAAATTAAATTTGTTTAAAAATGAAAAGCATGATTATTTCTACAAGCCAATTAACGGTAATGACAAAAAAGGAAATTACCAGATATTGCACCAGCTGATGCCCTTCAATCTATGATGATCTCCAGATTCACATTTCCATAATTTTTCTGTGCTTCTTCAATTTCCCGTACTAAAGATTTGACACGATCTCCGCAATGGTCGATCTCAATCGTTTCAAGAGTTGATATACGCCCTAAACAAGAAGGCATCATTTTCAAAATACGAGTACTGTCGAGATTTAATTGCTGAAGACACAGGAAGTAATCATCACTGTCAGGGTCCGTCTCTGTCCACTCCACAACCTTAAAATATGTCAAAGTCAAGACCCTGAGTTTAGGGAATCCTCCTTCCATCAGCTCCCATCTTTGGCCCTCCATTGACTGCAGTCTTAATTCGAGGACTTCAAGGTTGGGTAGTTCTTCAATCAATGACATTTTACTACAGGGAAGACCCAGATTTTCAAGACTCAACTTCTTCAAATTCATGGGAAAGGGAACCTCAACATGTTCCCATGAACCTGAGGAGTAATTGCCCCACCAGGTGAGTGATTCTAGGCATTCTAGATGACTCATGTTCAACACTCCATTTCCAGTGTGATAATCGGAAATTTTAAGTTGGCGAATGTTAGGAATCCTTCTCAATAAGTTCTCTCCCTCTTTAAAAAGACACAAGCAAGAGAGTGTGTCTAAATTGGGTAAAGTGGAGAGGTTTTCAACACCGTTGTCGTTGGAAGGCAGATGAATAGCAACGCGCCCTCTTACATGTATATGCCTCAACTTCTTCATGTTCCAGATGCTATCTGGCAATGAAACGACCAAGTTGGAATGTAGCCAAAAGGTTTCCAAATGTGAGAGCTTGGCTATAGATGGTGGAATGAATTGCATGTCCTCTGCTTCAAGGGCTAAGTACCTCAAACAAAGAAGTGACTCGACTTCAGCTGGAAGCTCCTTCAGCCTTAGGTTAATGCCCTCTAAATTCAGAACGTTAAGATGTTTGTAGATGCAAAAAAGGAAGGAGATATTAAACAACTTATCATATCTTGGAGTAGCATCAAAGAGTAGCAGACTGGCTAAATGCGGACAAAATAGCCTTGACTTTATAAAATCTTCTACACTGGAGCAAATGGACAACCGAGGTAGGTTGGGAGGCTCATTAAAGGTAGAAAGCTCATCATATCCTCCCAGGACCTGAAGGAATTTCTTTTCTTTCGCCTTGCCCTTACAGAACTCAAATATCAAATCGTGAATGTAACAAGTTTTGACTCCACCAATGGACCTGTTCTTACCTACCATAACTAGGTTTCGGCCAATTAGGTCCATCAGATATTCTTCTGCAATATCCTCTGATTTCTCTCCTTCAATTATTTCCACAAATCCTTCTGCAATCCATAGACACGTCAACTTCTTGGCACCAATTTTTTCATCTTCTGGAAATGCAGCAAAATACAGCAAGCATGCCTTCAAGTGATATGGTAAATGCTCATAACTGAGCTCCAATGACTTCTTCCACTGGTCTGTACCAGACACCATGGTTGAAGTTAAACTTTCAGCAAACTTTTCCCAAAGCAAAATATCATGCTTTATTGTTGCTAGAATTCCAGCTACAACAACAACTGCAAAGGGTAATCCCCAGCACTTTTTGACAATCTCCATTCCCAATTCATGCAACGCTTGAGGACATTCCTCTTCTTCTCCAAACACCTTCTTCTGCAGCAATTCGAAACTCTCTTCGACAGTAAGGCAGCGAATCTTGTGAGGTTCTCTACCATATTGAACCTGTGAAGCTACATTAGAAGATCGACTCGTGAAGATGATTCTACTTTGGTTTTTGTCATCTGGGAATGAAATTCTCAGCTCATTCCATACCTTAATGTCCCAGACATCATCAAAAACAACAAGATACCGATTCTTCAATAGCCTTTGATAGAGCTTTTCAAGCAACGCATGTTTATCCAGATTTTGAAACTCATCCTTCCTAGAATGTTTGCCATCAGAGCACAAAATTTGAAGTAACACATTTTTCATGTTAAATTCTTGAGAAACAGTACACCAAAGACGAATGTGGAAGTGACAGGTTACTGAACTATCATTGTAAACTTTTTTGGCTAAAGTTGTCTTACCAAGCCCAGCCATTCCCACAATGGGAACAATTTCCACCTGTTTTGATCCCCATCTAAGTCGTCCAATTACTTTTGCTGCCTCATCATCAAGACCAACCATGATTTCACGAGCTATTGGCATTTTACCTTTTGATAGCATGCGGCTGGAAGTCTGGCTAACTTCTGGTGCTCTTAAGCTATGAGAGGAATTAGGAAGACTCTGTATAGTACTTGAGATAAGTGGTTCAATTACTTTTTCTGCCTCATCATCAAGACCAACCATGACTTCATGGTCTATTGGCATTTTACCTTTTGATAGCATGCGGCTGGAAGTCCGGCTAACTTCTGGTGCTCTTAAGCTATGAGAGGAATTAGGAAGACTCTCTATAGTACTTGAGCCACTGATCTGATCCTTAAAATTCTTGATATGGATGTTGGTACTAGCCAGCATATCACAAAAATCAAGAACCTGGGTGGATCCTGAGAAGCTAACTTCTCCTTCTATCACTCTGCTCAGAGTGGGCGTGAATATTATAATGCCTGCCTCACCAAGGAGAGCTCCAATTTTTTCATTTTGTTCATCCATCATCTCATGATGCTCCCTTAAAATGCTTCTCAAAAACCTCAGGCCTGCATAGAGTATTCGCATTTGATTTTTCATAGAATCTACAAAGCTAGAGCTGCAGCATAACAACTCCCAGAGACGACTTATCAGAGAATCATTGAAGTTGTTCAATATCCGCTCATCCATCACTGCTGTATGTAATGATGCTGAGGAGTTTGAAGCTGCAAGTACTTCCTTATAAATCTCGTAGACATGAAAATCAACCGCTCTGATGCTGAGGAGTTTGAAGCTGCAAGTACTTCTGTACTCAACATTTTTCCAAAAGGACCACATGTAAGAGAGGCGTGCTGCGGTCAAAGCCACCACTTCAAAGTGAGATAATAGCAAGGCAGGAATATCTGCGGTTCCTCGCATTTTGGCAAAGGGAATAAAGCTTTTCAAGAATGTCAGCTTTGCTTCAAGATCTTGGACTTGAGCAGTCAAAGGAGCACTCAAAGGATCATATTTATGAATTCGCCAATTCATATAGTCATTGGTCAAATCTGCTAGATTTTGCAGGATGAGGTCTATGAATTCCAACAGTTCATCATCTGTCATACAAGAATTTGATTGAAATGACCTGCTGCTTGCCAAAGCAAGGTAAATTTGGATGATTTCTTGCTTGAGTGATGTGATCTTTTTCTCAATTTCGCGGAACACTCCACGAGCAAAAATAGAATTGTTAAAGTCAAGCCACAGCAGCAATTCTTGACTTCTTGCTGCAGCCGCAATTCTTGATTCTTGACTGTGGCAGAATTTTGTAATCCCACATCGCCAGAAGCTGAGGGAATAGCCTCCATTGTTTCCTATAAATAGAGAAGGCCTTTGAGAAGTTTAAGTGCACCACTCAAGAGAGTTATATGGGCTATTAGCTTCTTGAGTCATCTAGCCCATTTAGTCAAATATTTTAGGCTCTCTTGTATTGTGTTTAGGAATATTTCCTAAATCTTTTATAAGTGCCTTTTGGCCTAGGAACCACTTTCCTACGGCTTTTGTATTTCTTCTTCATAGTTGAAATATTGCTCCTCCCTCGCCCGTGGACGTAGGTCAATTTGACCGAACCACGTAAATCTTCTGTATCTTTTATTTGCTTTGTTATCCGTCTTTATATGGTCGGTTTTACCGCCTAATTATTATATGGCCGGTATCTACCGCCTATCTATTATATGGTCGGTTATACCGCCTACTTTGTGCTAACTTGAGTTTGTCTATTTCCTGGCCCGGTCCTTAACAAACTGGTATCAGAGCTGGTTATATTTTGCAAGACAGTTTTATCTGGTGGGTCCCGTTCATCTGGTGGGGTCCGTCCATCCTGTGGGGCCCACTCATTCTGTGGGGTCCGTTTATCCGTGGGGCCCACTCACCTTGTGGGGTCCGATCATCCCCGTGGGGCCCGCTTATCTCGTGGGGCCCGCTCACCCTGTGGCCCGCTCACGAGACTTGCATATTTGTTTGGCCAGTTTTTTGAGACAAACTTCAAGTTACAGAATTTGTGGCAACAATGACGATAACAAAGACGGTTGTCGAGAAATTCGACAGGAATGTCAACTTCGGAATGTGGCAGCTCAAGATGGAAGCCATTCTTGTTCAAGACGGAGTTGATCTAGCGATTCACGGAATCGAGAACAAACCAGAAGAAGTCAAGGATGCGGATTTCGCCGATATGGATAAGAAGGCCAGATCCAGCATAATCTTAAATCTCTCCGATGAGGTATTGCGTGAGGTAGCAACGGAGACTTCGGCCAAGGCTATGTGGGATAAATTGAAAGCCTTGTATATGAAGAAGACAGTCGAGAATCGACTATATCTGAAGCAGAGTTTGTACATGCTTCGGATGTCTGAAGGTACATCTATACTCTCCCATCTTGATAAATTTGATTCCATTATTATGGATTTGGGGAATATAGATTCGAAAATTGATGATGAAGATCAAGCCCTATTACTTTTGTGTTCCCTTCCCCAGTCTTTTAAGCATTTCCGCGATACTATGATTTATGGAAAGGAAACAATTTCGTATCGGGAAATTAAATCTGCATTAAAATCTAAAGAGCAGATAGATAGGGACATTACTGGGGAAACTAGTGGGAGTCAAGCCGATGGCTTGTTTGTTCGGGGTAGATCTGAAAAGAGAAACACAGAAAATAGAAGTAGATCCAAATCCAGACATAAAAATGTGGTGTGCAATTATTGTAAAAAGAAGGGCCATGTTATCTCTGATTGCTTTAAATTGAAAAATAAAGAAAAGCAAAAAGGGAAATTTGTTGAGAAAAATACTGAATCCGCTGAGGCTAGTATAGCAGCTGATGAGAATGATGGAACTATTTTCTGTGCAACGGAAAATAATTTTAGGTCTAACAATGAGTGGATTTTAGATTCGGGTTGTTCATATCATATGTGTCCCAATAGGGACTGGTTTTCAACATATGAATCAGCTGAAGGTGGAGTTGTCTTAATGGGCAACAACGCTGTTTGTAAAGTTGTTGGCAAAGGCACAATCCGGATTAAAATGTACGATGGTATTGTGAGGACGCTCACAGATGTTAGACATGTTCCAGATTTGAAGAAAAATCTCATCTCTTTGGGCACTCTTGAGTCTATCGGGTGCAGGTATTCAGGTGGAGACGGAGTTCTCAAAATTACTCGAGGAGCTCTTGTTGTTATGAAGGCACACAGATCTGGTACTTTGTATATTTTGCAGGGATCTACTGTTACAGGTGCTGCTGCTGTTTCAACATCATCTTTGTCAGATACAGACATCACCAAATTATGGCATATGCGTTTGGGGCACATGAGCGAAAAAGGCTTAGGCATACTAAGCAAAAGAGGGACTTCTTGTGGTCAAAGTACCGGGCCATTGGAATTCTGTGAACATTGTATTTTTGGGAAGCAGAAAAGAGTCAGCTTCAGTTCACCAGCAATTCACAAGACAAAAGGTACTCTTGATTACATTCATTCAGATCTATGGGGTCCTTCTCGTGCTCCTTCTAAAGGTGGTGCCAGGTACATGTTGACTTTCATTGATGATTATTCAAGGAAAGTTTGGGTATATTTTCTTAAGCATAAAAATGATGTTTTCCTAACTTTCAAGCAATGGAAAGTTTTGATTGAGAAGCAAACAGGAAAACACATTAAGCGGTTGAGAACAGATAATGGCATGGAATTTTGTGGAGGTGAATTTAATGAATTCTGCAAGAATGAAGGAATTGTTCGGCATCACACCGTCAGGATGACGCCTCAACAAAATGGTGTGGCCGAACGTATGAACAGAACGCTTTTGGAGAGAGCAAGATGTATGATCTCCAATGCAGGGTTGACAAACGACTTTTGGGCAGAGGCGATCAATATGGCCTGTTATATTGTCAACCGTTCTCCTTCTGCATCTCTTGATTTCAAAACTCCTGAGGAAGTTTGGTCAGGTACTCCTGCTGATTACTCCAATTTAAAAGTTTTTGGGTGTCCAGCATACATGCACGTGAATGATGGAAAATTGGAGCCTAGGGCTAAAAAGTGCATTTTTCTTGGGTATGCTTCTGGGGTGAAAGGATACAGATTATGGTATCCTGATCCCAAATCCCCAAAATTTGTAATCAGTAGAGATGTTACTTTTGATGAATTATCTATGTTATCTTCCAAGAAGGAGTCTTCTAGTCCTTGTACTACTGATAGTACACAGAAGCAGGTGGAGCTTGATATTGGCAGTTCTGGTCCTTCTCAGACCAAATCTTCTATTCAAATGCCAGTAGATACACCTGAATCTACTGTTGAAGATAGTTCTGAAGAAGAAGAGTATTCCATAGCCAGAGATAGAGCAAGGAGAGACATTCGACCACCACAAAGATATGCAAATTTAGTTGCATATGCTTTATCTGTTGCAGAAGAAACTGATGCAATTGGTGAGCCTTCCACCTATTCAGAAGCAGTTTCTTGTGATGATTCTGCAAAGTGGTTGATTGCGATGAATGAAGAAATTGAATCTCTTCATCGTAATGAAACTTGGGTTCTTGTAAAGCCGCCGTCAGCTAAGAAAATTGTTGGATGCAAATGGGTCTTCAAGAAGAAGGAAGGTATTCCAGGGGTTGAAGATGCAAGGTATAAAGCACGATTGGTTGCAAAGGGCTATAGTCAGGTACAAGGTGTTGATTTTAATGATGTGTTTTCACCTGTTGTTAAACATAGCTCTATTCGTGTTTTGCTTGCTTTAGTTGCCATGTATAATTTGGAGTTAGAACAGCTCGACGTTAAGACAGCTTTCTTACATGGCGAACTTGAAGAACAAATTTATATGAGACAACCCCAGGGTTTTGAAATTGAAGGTAAAGAAGACCATGTTTGCTTATTGAAGAAATCCTTATATGGATTGAAGCAGTCTCCAAGACAATGGTATAAGAGGTTTGATTCCTTTATGTTGGGTCATGGTTATTCAAGGAGCATGTATGATAGTTGTGTTTACTTCCGGAAGTTAAATGATGGTTCTTTCATTTACTTATTGTTATATGTTGATGACATGCTCATTGCTGCCAAGAATTTGTCAGAAATTCACACCTTGAAACTGCAGTTAAATAGTGAATTTGAAATGAAAGATTTGGGAGCAGCTAAGAAAATTCTTGGCATGGATATCAATCGAGATCGAGGAGTAGGAAAGTTATTTTTGACCCAGAAAAATTACCTTGAGAAAGTCTTGGAGCGTTTTGGCATGAAAGATGCTAAACCAGTATCTACTCCTCTTGCTAGCCATTTTCGGCTATCTGCTGCTCAATCACCAAAATCAGATGAAGAGGAAGATTATATGGCACGGGTTCCTTATTCCAGTGCAGTCGGCAGTATTATGTATGCAATGGTTTGTACTCGTCCAGATATTGCACAAGCAGTCAGTGTTGTTAGCAGATATATGTCTTGCCCTGGTAAAACACATTGGCAGGCTGTGAAGTGGATTCTCAGATACTTGCGAGGTACTTCAAATGTATGTTTGGAGTTTGGAAGAAATAATAACACTTTGGTTGGTTTTGTAGACTCAGACTACGCTGGGGATCTTGACAGGAGAAGATCACTTTCAGGCTATGTATTTTGCATTGGCAGTTGTGCTGTTAGTTGGAAAGCTACTCTACAACCTGTCGTAGCTTTGTCTACTATTGAAGCAGAATATATGGCTGTGACCGAGGCAATCAAAGAAGCCTTGTGGTTGAAGAGTTTATTTAGCGAGTTAAGTCTATATCAAGGTGTTACTGATATTCACTGTGATAGTCAAAGTGCCATACACTTGACTAAAGATCAGATGTATCACGAGAGAACGAAGCATATTGATGTGAAGTATCACTTCATTCGGGATATCATTGATGAGGGAAAAGTCCTTATTCAGAAAATCAATACTAAGGACAATCCAGCCGATATGTTTACGAAGCCTCTTCCAAATTACAAGTTCAAGCAGTGCTTGGACTTGGTTGGTGTTCGTTATTTGTGATTTAGACCCATTGGGTCTTATGTGGAGAAGGTGGAGCGATTTTACTATTGACGATGGTGGGACTCAAAATTATGCCAAGGTGGAGATTTGTTGAGCCGCAATTCTTCAGCCGCAATCCTTGACTGTGGCAGAATTTCCTCATCCCACATCGCCTGAAGCAGAAGGAAAGCCTCCCAAATACAACTATAAATAGGGGGCTCATATGAAGGTTTCAATCGCACCACTCAAGAGAGTTATATGGGCTATTAGCTTCTTGAGTCATCTAGCCCATTCAGTCAAATATTTTAGGCTCTCTTGTTTTGAGTTTAGGAATATTTTCTAAACTATTTTGTAAGTGCCTAT